CAAACAATACACCAAAATTCTATATTGAACTAGCATTCAAATGCATGGATGCTAATCCAGATAAACGTCCAACTGCTGGTGAAATTTATGAGATTATTGATTTTTGGAACGATTCATTTCATGAGGAGATGCTTGAAGATTATGAATATCCCAAAAAACAAAGGGATGAATATGAATCAATTAGAAAAGAATTTGAGAAAATGGATAAAATAAAATTTGATCCTTCAACAATTACTACAGTAATTCATCCAAATGCAGTTTATACTAGCAGATTATTAAAATTTACAAACCTTCCCTGTGAATTCCAATAAAGTAACAATTATTAGTAACAATAATGGTAATTATCATTAATTATTCAATTATTAATTTTAAAATTTAGTAACAATATTAACATTATGATGTTATAAATTATAGTTTCTCATTTAATGGATATAAATATTTAGATTAATTTGATTATTTATATTTAATAATGATATTATATAAAGGTAATAACTTCTCACAATTATCATATCTTTTGATCTTTCTTTTCATTTTGAAATTTGGATGTCAAATATGCACACAAAAAATAAATATAATTAATATGTTTGTTAAACTTTTTTGTTGTAAAAGCAGTTATTGGTTAATGCAGGGTTGGCAAATTGACTGGTCCATTGAGAACTGATGAATTTTGGACTGGTCCATTGCCATTAATAAAATACTAAATATGGTTAAGGTGTTACACTGATGGACCATCAATGGACTGCACATTTGCCAACCCTGGGTTAATGAATATCACAAAATAATAAAAAGTATTTAGATGATGCTGATCTTGTTGTTGATCTTCAAGCTATTCTCACAGAATTATATGAAAGAAAACCTTTTACAAATTATGTCCATAGGAATGACTATGAATCACTTTGGGCAAAGAACTTATGTTATTTTGTAAGTTTTGTGTGAAATTTTTGATCTTTTTGATTTTTGTCAATATTATTTACACATCAAAATTACCAAATTTATTAGAAAAAAAGACCATTACTAATAGCAGTTCATCACAGGGTTGGAAAATTGACTGGTTTGCCATAGTAAAACACTAAATATGGTTAAAGTGTTACATTAATGGACCCAATGGACTGCACATTTGCCAACCCTGGTTCATCAGAACTAAAATATAGGGAAGAAATAATATACCCTATATTTGCTAAAGTATTTCATGATGTGAGTGTTTGTTTTGGATTGAAATGTAAGTAATTTTTGTGAACCTATTCTTAATTAGATGAACCTAATTGTTTACATATTTTGTACTAGTGGCGAACTGGAGAATTCAATAAATGAGTTTCAGAAAATAAAGCTAACAAAGCAAATTAAAATCAGAAAATTGGTTTTGAGCATGATGGAATCATCCATCTTAATTTACATGGAGAAAATATACAAGTTGATTTTGTTGAAGTGGTTGGAAATTCATTTAATAAGATTTATCAGATAGAAATGAAGATTTAGAGAAATTAATGAAAGCATGATATTATATTTCTACTATATGGTTTAAACTAAACTTATTAGCAGAATTGATTTTTTCAAGAATAATTTTGACTAATGACTGTTAAATCTTCCAATATAAGTTTTAATTTATATGCAATAAGGAAAAATACATAAATAACATTTTATTAATATGCTAATTTACTACTTATAAAACTCATTATTTTTTAAATAATCATTATAAAAATTTTCTCCAAAAGATCCTCTTAAAATCATAAGCAAATTTTTTGTTAATACTATTTCGCAGTCAATAGTGAGATGCTTGCTTGAATTGCACTTGGTGCATCCAATATTATTACCATTATAATAATTTCCACTGGTGCTGCTATAGTGTTGATTGCATTGTTGCGGTTGTGAATTGTTCCTTTGTGAAGTATAAATGGGAGCTTTGCCTTTACTTTGAGGTCTATCATTTCTAATTCTATAATAGTTATTTGTAGAATTTTTCAATTCTTCTCCGAACATAGAAGCTTTCGTTAGCCAATGATTGTTTTTATCATCATATTCATTGTTTGATTCCCAAACATTGTTATCTAATTTATTAAGTCTGTTGTCATAAGCTTCTTGAAATGTAACACTTCTAGAAGCCTCATTGCACCAATCAAAATTACTATCATCGGTAATTGGATAATTTGAGATCTGTTGTTGATGATCACAACTAACTGTTTCGGATTTAGGTCCAATATCTTTATTCATCCAAGGTTTTTTATAATCAGAGCTAAAGCCAACATATTGATCATGATTTTCATGTGATCTAGCGCTTTTGGTATCATTAATTTTTGCAACATCGCCACCAACTGTTTCGGATTCGGGTTCAATATTATCATTATCCATACGAGATTCTTCATAATCAGAAATATCAACAGGTTCATCATGGATTTCTTGCAATGAGACATTCTTGGGATCATTAATTTTTGCAACATCAACACTAGGATCTGGTTTATTTTCAAAATCGGCAGCTTCTTGATAATTTGAATCTTTAGCATTAGCATCATTGTCTTTTAAAGATTTGGCATTATCATTAACATTTGTTTTAGGCGGTAACTCGTCTTTTTGATCCATACAAGTGCCCAAATTAGCTGTACTACTATCATGGCTTTTATTCTCACTTGGTAACAATGAATATTCTTCAAAAAAGTCGTCGTTGGTTTGTACACCAACATCGCGGAATGTTTTTTGGTTCGTGATTGTCCCAATATCAGTAGAACATGCTTTTCGTTTCTTACATATGACAAATATAGCAATTTCAATAATAATAGCAATTAGAATTAATATCATTTTTGTTTATGTTTATATGTGAACGTATTAAATGTGTAGAAGGAGAATATCAGTTGAAATTTTTCATTTATGTGAGATTTTTTTTATAAAAAGAATTATTAATATTAATTATTTCACAATGGAACATTTTAAGAAGAAAGATTTGCGACAAGGATCTGCGGGCTTAAGATACTTGTACTTAAAAGCCCCCTTCTCAACGAACATGGAAACATGATGGATTAACAAATAATACTTGAAGCCTTTCGACATTTCTTTGATCGCTTTATTCAATACTTTATATTAAATACTTATTTAAAATCATTATAATTATTTTAATATCTAATATTTAAAAGAAGGTTAATCTGATCGAAACGAAAAATTCAAGAGTCGTCTAGTACTAGTACTAGGTTTTTGCACTTTCCTTTTTGAGAAGTCCGTTGAAGCCTCTTTTTACATTCATGAATAACCTTTTTTGGTTTAGGAGCTTTGATGGATAGATAATTCATGGAAAATTGCAGATTAAAGGGTATATATACACCCAATGTAAGATTCTCGAGATCTCATAATTTTATAGGTGAAATAACAGCAGAGTTTTGTTAACAAAAAGATCGAAGCCTTTAAAGAGGATAAAAATTTGCTTATGATCAATATCAAAAGGTCTGAGATATGAGAGGTATGTAAATACTTACAAAAGAGAAAAAAAAAATTTTTTTAATATATTGGAAACTGGGAACTCGGTGCTGTAGTGTATATATTTTTTATATTTCAATCGCAGTTATTAACAAGTTCTGAAGTCCCACAGGTATAAAATTACTATTTAGAATTAAATAGGTCTTCTGATTCAGGATTCTTGGTGACTTTTTGGTTTTGGTTAATTCTTTTTCTACTAAAGTATTAAAAATAGCATTATTGTTTATATGAACAACCCTACTTACTTCTACCAGAACCAACACGTGACAATTTTGGTATTGAACATTTGGTTTCTTCCTTTGCTTTAATTCTTTTTTTTTTTTGATATAGTACAAGTCATAGGAGCACCTTGACTACAAGCCATTTTGTAAGTTTATACAAAGAGTAAAATTTCTCACAAACAGGCATATAAAGTTCTATTTTTTTAAAAAGGAATTGGAAAAATGTATTTTTTTCACGCGAAAATATAGTAATAGTAATAGGTGACGATCCGAATTAATACTTTTTAAAAATATATAAAATAAATAAATATGGAAAAAAAATCAATATCTAAATCGACATCAATGTTCAAATGGTTTTTAGAAAGATGGATGATACCTAACAAATCAATGAATAGGACATTGATTGGACTATGGTTGCTTTCCAAAACTCCATCAGCAGTTTTGACATGTTACACACTAATTGTTTATTAGAATTTCGGCAGAGTTTCACATTGGGGGTTTTGACAATTGGCGGAGTTACATAATAATTGTTTATTAGAGTTTCAGCAGTCATTAAGAGGCTTCAGCAAGTAATCTTAGATTAGCCACTTACATCAATTTTAAAGTAATCTTAAATGTAAATTTACATTTTTGACCAGGGACAGTTGCTGGACTGCCCGAAAGTTTAGTGATGGCCTATAAAGCCCAGGACACCAGGTCAATTTGAAAATTTTTAGTGATGAGAACCTAAAAATTTTAGTTATGTTGCCTAATACTAAAATTTTGTAATAGGATTTCTCACCCTGTGTGCAACTTTGAGAAGAATGCAAGGATAAAATTCCCGTGACAAATTTATTATTTTGAAATACAAAATATAAATATTGAAATTGAAAATGTTTCAAGTATCTAACTTTTATATATAGAGAAATTGATAACAGGCTATTTATAATGACAAAGTCACGGTATAAATAAATTATTTATACTTAAAAAGATCATCAGGACGAACCCATTCACTCTTAATTCGTTCTCTCAAATTTTTTCTCAAAATTTTCCCAGAAGGACTTTTAGGTATCTTATCAATAATCTAGACACCGCCACGTAATTTTTTATGAGGAGCAACTTTTCCAGCTACATGATCTTGAATTAGTTTTTGGGTTTTGTTGGTGATCATTGGTAGTACAACATAGACGACTGGTAATTCTATCGCGTCTTGTTCTGAATATATACCAACTACAGCTGCATCGAAAATAATGGGATTAGTAAGTAGGACTGATTCGAGTTCTGCAGGTGCAACTTGATAGACCTAAAAAATTTTTTTGAGGTGATGGTGATGGGAAAAATTGATTAGAAAAAAAGAAAAATGGCAAACCTTATATTTGATAAGTTCTTTTACACGATCAACCAAAAAAATAAAAGAGAATATTTTATTTTATGATATTACAATAATCTACCATTTTCATTAATAAAAGCAACATCTCCGGTATGGAAAAATCCATCTTTACCAATACATTCTTTAGTGGCCTGTTTATTAAGATAATCCTATTTTTATTTTTTTCAGACATTCAAAAACATTTGAACCATATATCAAAAATGAAATAAATGAATTTATTTTACAAAGTCTACATTTTCTAAACTCTTGAACATTCTGGACAACATCATATTGATGGTTATTTTTGTTCAGTTGATTTAGAAGAATCACGCATTACCTTTCCGCCTCGTTTTTCATTGATTTTTTATAAGCATTAAATCCTGGATATCAACCATCTTCAAGAAAAGCGATATATACGAAAATGGAGATCCACATTCTTATTTACTGTAATTAGATGATTAATAGATAAAATTTTTTGTGTTTATGTTTATAATAATAATAATGTTTTTTAAAAGCGGTCTAACTGCATCGTGTTTATGTTGCAACATTATGTATAATATGTAAAATTACGGATATGTTGCAACATTACGGGTATGTTGTAACATTACGGTTTTGTTGCAACAAAAGAGGCAGATTGTTGCAAAATTGCAACATTTGATATTGATTACAGGGGACAAGCTTGGTTTGCTTATGCTGGTAAAAATATAAGGATAAACCAGAGTAATTGTCTCGCAATATGTAAAAGATGTGCAACAAAAGGATTCAATAATGCTAAAACCGAAGTCCAAAGATTTAAGAATTTCAAACACAGTGAAAAGCACCTTGAAATAATCAAAAATAATTGCAAAATAGATTAGAAATATCTGCTCACACTATGGTTTTCTGCTAGAAACCAATTGGTAAAGTTTTGGATAATTGTTTCGTCGTTTGGGGTTTTGGCAATCGGCAGAGTTTCGGCAAGGTACACACTAATTGTTAATTAGGGTTTTGGCAGTCACTAAGAGGTTTTAGGAAGCAACCTTAACTCGCACATACCAAATTAAATATAATACTACTATTTGCAATTAGAATAATAGATGAGGATTTTATTTTTTATATATGTATGTACATATGTTCCTATATTTATATTTTGATTAATTATTTTAGGTGATACTAATATTAATATTGAATTTGTTACTTTTTCAGAAACTTCCACTTCTGCTAGATCAATTAAATGTGAAAGAACTTTAGAAAATTTTCTTTTATCACTATTTATACGAATAAAAATAAAAAAATTTCATTGGCTGAATTCTTTGAATCCCAGTGTAACCTTGTATTCCGAATAACAACAACAACAATAATAATAACACCGAGTTAATAAAATTGCTTGATCATTCAATTTAATGAAAGTATATTTTAATAAATAAGTAAATTTTATACGTTAGATTATAAAATATATTAATAACATCAATATATTAGTACAAACAAATCCTATTTATAATTAAGTCATGTGATCGACGCGATGTTCTCTAAAATTGATTACAACAATGATATCGACAGCAGTAGCTACCTCAAACGAGAGGCTACGACAACAGCGATATTTAAAAGAACGACAACAAAGAAGGCAGCGCCACAGCAGCAACGGCAACGACAGTATCGACGATAGTGATGTTAATAAGAATAATAATATCCATAGTAATAATAATTATTCTTATGACAATGATAATAATGATGATAATAACAACAATGAACAAATAATAACAACAATCATGACGATAATGATGACGATAATGATAACAATAGAATGGACCTTTTTAAAAAAAAAATTTTTGTTTTTATTAATAAATAGTTAAATCTTATTATTATTGTTATTATATAAATAAAAAATTTGATTTTCGGTTAGGAACACTAACCTCACAAGAAAAGGCATTTGCTACACTATAAGAGAGGCATGTCTACTTCACTTATAACATTACATGGTTGTGCAATGTGTTTTTAAAAATTGCAGTTTTTTATAATATATATTAATTATTAATATTAGGTTTTAAAAAAATACACGTTTTAATAAAATTTTTTACATAGTAATAGTAATAGTTGTCGAGTATCTTCTCAAAGATTAATGATTTGTTATGACCGGATAGCATTAATTATATACAAAAATTTACAAACCTTTGTTTATAATATATTAATTATTAATTAGAGATTTAAAAAAATATCCGAATTAAAATATCAACTCTTTTCTCTAAAATGTTAACAAATGTGAATCAATCAATTGAAAGTTACTGCTCGTTAATTATTACTAATGATATTAATCAATAAACATTAAATTATAGTAACAATAGTAAAAGAAAAGATGTGACGAATGACTAATTTAACCACCGTAAATTTATCATTATCTTTTTATTTTAGCCTTATTTTATAAATTATAATAATATTTTGGAATAATAAACTTTTTACAATTTTTTGATTCTTGTTAAATGGTGAGGTATCATTTTGGTCAATTAACAATCATGGCTTAAACTCCTTGTCGGTCAATTGCAAATAATTCGGTCTTGTCAATTAATTGGTTTATGAATTTACTCTTTCTTGTACCTAGAGGAATCTATGAGCACACTTGATGATACCAGATAACTGTAAATAAGACCTTTTACAATGCTATAAATTCCTTTTATTCACTTGTGATCGATTTGTTTAGTTGTTTACATTTTTTGGCTGATTGCAAACTCGCTTTGGTTTACATGCAAAACAACTTAAGTAACTTGTTTAACAGCATTTCTTTTATGATTGCAATAACATTACCAGCATTAATCCTTTGGCGATACTCATTAACACCCACCAGTTAACCAACGTTATTCCTAGCCTTTGCTTACTCACTAAAGCAAATTACGCTACTACTCGTTGTTAACACTCACTAGTTAACCAACGTTAGTCCTAACCTTGCTTTCTTGCTCACTAAAGTAAATAAATGTGGCTTTTTTTACCAAAGCTCCACAATTGTTGCCTTTTATCAAGGCATTAACTACACTGTTCTTTATCAAAGCGCTTTAGACAAAGAAAATAAAGACAATGTTTTTTATTTTTATTTTTAAAAGTTTATTAACGATTTAACTTTATTTAGTAAAATAATGAGAGTTTTATTCTATTAGGATGTTAATTATCTATTATTTTCACCTGCAAGGACCCGAAATCATGCTTTTTCAAGCGAAGACCAGATATTATCCTTAATGAAATTTCATTGATCATTACAATAAGGACAAAGATAAAGATGGGGTTTATTACCTTTTGATCTCGTTAAGGTTGATATGAATAATAGCTGACGATCTTAAGCTGAGTCTGTAAAGTTCTGCTTAACGGCACTGAAAAATTTTAACGTAGGCTTCTAGGTCTGCCTGAAAATAAATCTTTAACGCCTATAATATTAATATTAGTCTCTTGATTTTTCATTATCAATCAATTCTTAGATCAATAGAAAATTATAAAATGGTAGGAACTTTGTTATCAATAATAATATTATTATGTAATTTGAAGCATTGTCTAAAGACAATCATCGAGCAATTGTTACCAAAATATTTTTATTATTAATTTTCATACATATCAATTAAAAATAAAGATTATTCTATTCGAATTTACAAAAATTACGCGCTTATTATTTATTTACCATAAGTTGGTATAATACTTTTTAGCGTATCAACCAAATTTTGATTTTTAGTAAATTTTAAATCCTCCTTGAATTCGGTTCGGCATTCTGGGCATTTTCTACCATAGTGATTCACAGATTGTGTGATACATTCCTTACAAACGTTATGTGTGCATGGTGTAGTAACAGGATCTTGCACCAGCTCATGACATACTGGACATTTAAAATGATTTTCAACAAGACTTGAAATCAATTCGGCCAAGGTTTCATATTCTGTTCCTAACACAATATTCCAAACGCGATTATTCAAATTATCTTTTTTAATCAATTTTGAGATGTCACCAGGTAATTTGTAATTTTGAATTTTCTTTGCCTTTTTTGACGATGATGATGATGAAGTAGATGAACCTTGAGTTAAACCACGTTTTTTATCATTTGTATCCTTACATTCCTCTGGTATATACATTTTCAACCCTAAGCTGGCAATTCTTTTTTTCCCTTCTGGAGTCCAAGGAGCTGGTTCAATGTCATCACGTCGCATAAGATATCTCCAAACGATAAAACCAGATGCTCCTTTTTCAGGCCAATACTTTTGAATTTATACGATGCAAAATTAAATAATATTCTTAAATATTAATTTAAAAAATTATAATTATTACAATTATTATTTTTTTTACCTTGACAATTTTATAAATTCCATCATAACGAACTCCTTCATCTGGTGCATATTTTGGGTTATGTTTTTTCAATTTTTCAGTACGACAAACTCTAATTGGTTTACTATTTTTCCAATTTTTCGCTACTGCGCCTGTCTTATTGTTGAAATTTGCGTCACACGTACGTGCAAGTGCTTCGTTTTGTTTTGTAAGTTCTTGATCGCTAGTTTGACTAGCGACTCGTTTATTACCAGTTTTCAAATCTCTTCCACCACTACCAGTATATGTGAACTCTTCACCATTATCTTTGTCTTCAGGATATCCGCCTCCGAGAACAATCGAAACAGCACCTACAATTGCTTTTCCTGCTATGCCAGCAACAGGTGGACTAATTTGAACAATTATAATTGTAATTATAATTGTTATTATTACCGCTATTAATAATGTGCCTTAAATTTTTTTTAAAAAAAGAGAGATTATATATATATATTATTTGATCAACTCACCGATGAACTCCAGATTCAGAACAACTAACACGATACTTCCAAGATGAACCAACTGGGATTCCAGGTATCGGTCCAAAATGATCAGAGCCAACCACTTCACACTTTTTGGTTGTACCAACACAAGCCATACCACCACCCCATTTTCTTGTTTGTGTAGCTGAAGGCATTTTTGCTTTTTTGGAATTGCTAAGATCTAACCTTTGACCAGCCAGTATCACCTTACTGTTATCATTTGTACATGAGTCACAAAACCTTGATTAAATTAAAAAAAAAATTTTGAATAAAAATACAACCAATTAATTAATTAAACTAATTATTTATTTAGTTAGCTAGTTACCAGTCACCTCCTGGTAGAGATTGCAAAGGAGGATTCAAACAATTGAAATGATAATAATATTGACATTCATCACAAACAATAGTATTTTCTTCGTCGTCCTTTCCTCCGCAAAGATTACAACCGCACTCCTTACACTTTTTTCTTTTATTATTATTACACTTTTCACAATAATATTCTTCTTCAATTGTGTTGCCACAATTTTCTGTAGTAATAGCATCATTATTATTACCATTTGTAGTTTGGTCTTTATCGTTATTAGTTGGACCATTTTGTTGTGGTTGGTCTTCTTTTGATGACTCTTGTGCTACTACAGTTTCTTTGACTGTTGTTGGTGATGAAGAAGAAATATTATCATCGTAATTACTGGAGTTATTGTTATTATTGTCAAGATTATTATCAAGGTTAAATTCTTGTTGATTAATTGAAACTTTCTGAAAAAGTAGGATGGTGTTGGTATTTTTAATTCCATAATGAAAGAGTGTATTCCCATCCTCTAGCTACATGCAAAATTAAAAGAATTTAATTATATATATTATTATATCATATATTTTTACAAGTTTCTTATATTTGATGGTAATATAAAAGTTGTTTAAATTTGTTATAGTCACTTATATATACAATCTCTTTTTTGTTACCTGTTTACCACCAAAAAATAGTCTTTGTTTTTCTGGTGAATATTTTTCTCCTGCCTTTTCATTTATTTTTTCTCTGATTTCTTTAATATCATCAGTTGGGTTACATTGAATTTTGACGTCTTTTTCCTCATATCTAATGTATATGAACATCTTTTAGGCGAAATTATATATATATATATTTTAACGTGTAAAAAAAATTTTTTTTACGTGTTAAAAAAACAATGTTTATAAAAAATTTTTTTTGGTAAATGATCCGTGTAATAGTAAACCAACAAGTGATAGGGCAAAGAAAAATATCACGTGGAAGAGGTTATGTTGCAAATCAATTCAAAATTCAAGTTTTCCTACTGATTTATAGATAATATACTCTATTTATTTATCTAGTATTAAATCTCTATTTCTTCCTCTAAAAGATAATCACTAGTATTCTTTCATAATGTTGGATAACAACTTTTTGACTAGTGTGCGAAGGGGTTGTTTGCTCCATCAGCATCAGACAGAATGAAAATGTTATAGTAGACATCATTGTAATAGATAAGAAACGAATTCTTTTTTTTTTTTCACTGATATCTAAATCAGCAATCAATTGGTCTTTCTGTTTGTTGGAGTTTCTTTTGGGTCATATTTGTTTAATGATTCTTTGATAACATATTTTGCACATTCGATATTAACTGCATTGTCAAATTGTTTATAACTATCATGGCCATTCGCTGTCAATACGAGGCTTTCGGGAAACCTTGGTACTTTGCTACCAAATATTTGTGATTTTTACAACGAATTTCCTGATCGTTGGCAGAATTATTATATTCATAGTTATTTTGTAAATATGTTTGTTTCTTCATAATGATGATATTATTATATTTATATTAATGTAATTTTTGTCCTATTTATTGTTACAATATTTATTAAAAATAACGTTTTGTTTATTCAGTAAATTATGTAATAAACATTTAATTTTGCATCAACTTTTCATTAAAATCATCGACTACTATCATTGCTATTGTGCTCAATTTCCTGACAATATCATTATTACGCTCAATTTTCCCCGATGATATTCAAGCTAATTTTGCCAGTTATAAATAAATTGAGACAATTTAACTAAGAAAGTATGAAACTAACCAACTAATTTCTTTACCAAGTAATTCTCAAGTTGTTTCGCTGTTTTTGTAAAAAATATTTCTTGAAGTGTCAAGCCGAGATCAAGTATACATGTACATACATCAACCAATCTGATCTCTCTTAATCAATTTTGTTGCATTGGTACTTGCAACTATTCCATGGATAATAAAATAAATTGACTCTACTATGGACAGATTTATATTAAATATGTCAATTATATATACTTGAATGTTTCGATTTTTTTTTTTTGTTTTTTTTGTTTAGACCATCTAATGATGTACAACGAAACTTTTGACTTTAGCCATTGAGGTAACTAAATTATTGACTAAAGGTAGTTTCTCACCATGGCCATTTTGGCGATTTGACTAAAGTAAAAGCCCTTGACGTAAGTAAAACCATTTGCCGTAAGTAAAATCACTTGACGTAAGTAAAAAATGCTTGATACAAGTAAAAACGCTTGATACAAGCAACGATAATGATGATGATAAAATAAGTTTATCAAAAGTTTAAAAATGTGTGTCCCGGGGATGAATAAAGAATTATTATATCATTGTATGTATATTGCAATGATGCAAGAAGAATAATTATCACGGGAGAATTAAACTACTTGTTTTTTCTGTATATTTTCTTTCGAAATAAAAATGTCTCTAATTAAAACTATTCTTTATTATTACATCATAAAATTAAATTGTCTTTACATACATATGAGTTGTGTTAAATTGATATTTTTTCGAATTTTTGACTTTTGAAGTTAACTACATGTAATGAAAATGCGCAATAATACTAATAATGTGTTTGAGCTGTATTTAGTGCCTGAGTTTGAAACAACATAAATTGATCAATATTGGTACTAGAACGACCTTTACATAACACACAAGACAGGTTTTGGTGCATATTTTTGTAAGTTTGAAGATTTTGGTATCTTCAAGAATGCTGAAATTCTTTTATTGTTTAATCACGATAAATTGATCACTAGAATTTACTTTAATATTAAGTAATGCAATTTTCGCTTTTCAATCTGTTGGAAAAAGATTTAAATGTTGTACAAAAAAATTTTGTTATATGGTGCAAGTCACCTAGTCCCGCAACTTGCTGCGCCTCGTGGCCAATTTTGGGAAAATCACCAAAACTCAG